TTTTTTTCCCGATTATTCCTATGGGTGCTATACACGGTTGACACTTCAAAAATTTTTTATAAGCCAAAAAAAATATTAAAAATGAGCCAATTTGAATAAAAAAAGCCAACTTTTTACCATACACCAAATTACCATACAAGCGGAACAACTTAGTTTCGATCTGGCACTTTTGGGCTTCAGACATTAATCACTTTTAAAATTGCAAAAAAAAATGCTTAATTAAAAAAATGTATTCGTTTTTTCCACCTTTAAAATCACTATGGACGGCAGCCCATGTAGTGACGAAGCGCACCAGGAGAGTGTGCGAAGGCGACTACTATTATATAGCCGCAAAATTGAAAATCTGCTGTGATAGTCCGATCGTAATGAGTAATACACCAATCGAAAGGTATTGCAATAACTTAAAGAATTGCATACCAAGACTTTAAGAAAATCAATTGGCTTGGGAGAGAGAGCGGTGAAAGTGAAAAAGTGCGATTTTCAAAATTTGGAGCTGTTGGGGCCGGTGGGGATAAATGCTAGAGCTTGAAAAAAATCGATAAATGACAGTATCGATATTTTCGATACTTTATCATTATCGTATCGATAATATCGATGTTTTCAAGGAAAGCAAAGACAAATTAAAAACAATTTTATAATTCTGTTAATACCACGTATTATTATTATATACATGCATAATACACTTGCATTATTATAAATATTATTATTAGAAAAAATCGCGGTTAATTTATTTAATTTTAATTTCCGGTTTTCATTATTAAAATGCAATTTTAGACTCAAGGATTCTCCTGTTCAGAACTCGTGGTTTATTTATTTTCGATCATTGAGTTGAGTTGCGTCACATGTCTAGAAAGACACCAATTCTTAGTCAAAGACATTCACGGCTTCTTAAGAATTTTTTTTAAATATCTTCTGAGGAAATACTTATGTAAAATAATAGAAGAAACCTTTGTTCCATCCCATTTTTTGGTACTAAAGCAGAACAAATTCCTCCTCTTCTGAAGAATTCCCGGTTGCTTTTTTTTTGATCCTTTGCCAAAATTGCTCAAAGGGTCGTCGTTTTGTTTGTTGTTGGTATTAAAAGAACGAGAGTTCCTTTTTTCCCCAAGAAATTTTATGCCACAACCTATGGTTATTTTCCCCTACTTTAATTGATACTATACTATAAAGAAGTAAAAATTCCTCCTCTTCTGAAGAATTCGCGGTTGTTTTTTTTTGGATCCTTGAGTCCAAATCGCTCAAACGATCTTCGAAAAGCGACCAATTCTTATCAAAGGCTATGAATTCGCGGTTTCTTGAGATTTTTAAATAGCGGACAGATGGTCGGTAGCTGCAACCAAGATTTTGTTTTTGGTACTAAAAAAACCAAAGTTACTCCTCTTCCCAAGAACTCGCGGTTCTTTTATTGGCCATTTTTTGCCATAACCTATGCCCTTTTCGCCTACTTTTAAGTATTTCATAATATCTATGGGACCAAAGAAGAATAAAGTACCAAGAACTCGCGGTTCTTGTATGGTAATTTGTCCCTACTTTAAGTGATTTTGTATTTAAAGTTATTTTGGTCCTCAAAATTAAAGAGTGAAATCTGTTCGTTTCTCTCTAATAAAATGTCAGAAAACCATCGATGTTATAGATAAACATCGATGTTTGAAAAATATCAGAAGTATCGATAATATCGATACTGACATCGATAATTTTCAAGCTCTAATAAATGAAAATTTAATTCCACTTTTGGAAAAACTCGCTAGTTTAGCGGGAAAACGGCTATAAATAGCTAAAATTCGGAAAGCCGTATACTACTAAAGCTACAGACTTGTGCTGCATCTCGTTTGAAAGGTATTTTTAATTGCTATAAACGCCTTCTGTGTGCAATTTGTGTAAATGTAATAGTTAAAAAGATATGAACAAAAGACAATTTTTTAAAACTTTTTTTTTATTTTTCCCAAAAACGGCTCTAACGATTTTCCTTAAAGCTTTAAACTGTATAGCCCTTGAGATTCCTTAAATTTTGGTATAACACATTTTGGTATAACACATTTCTGTAAAAAGTCACGTTTAAAAGTTTTTTTTATACGAAAATAGCCACTTTTGCCAGCTCGAACTACTAACGCTTCTTGAGTATTGAATTTTGTGTGAGGGTATCCGAACTGTATTTTAGGGTCATGGAATCAGTAAATTTGCACTTAAGAGTTCCATATAGGAATCTTTTGTTCTACGATTTTTGGAAAAAGCCGCTACTTTAGCGGGAAAAAGCTATAAATAGCTACATTTCGTTAGTTTGTAAGTTCTACACTACTAAAGGTACACCCATGTGCTATACCTCGTTTAAAAGGTATTTTGAAATACTTCAACGTCTTTTTAACTTAATTCGTTAAAACAAAATAGTTTATAAATTATGATTTATGACCAATTTAAATTTAAATGTTTATACTAGCACCTTTGAGAGCAAAAGTAAACAAACAAAAACTTCTGATAGAAAATAAAAACACCTCTTAACGAGGTAAAAAACTAGTGACGATCGCACCTTCGACGTACAAAAGTTCAGATATCAACTTTTGTGATTGATTTTAGATGCGACTAAATAAATACGCTACCTAAAATTTATTCATTCGGCACGCCACAACAGAAAACTTTCGTGTAGATATTAAATATTTGCTAAAGCGGGCCGAACGAGTAAACCAAAATTCGGTTTGTTTTTATACCCTTGTAGAGGGTATTATAATTTCAGTCAGATGTTTGCAACGCAGTGAAGGTGACGTTTCCGACCACATAAAGTATATATTCTTGATCAGCACCAATAGCCGAGTCTATCTAGCCATGTCCGTCTGTCCGGCTGTCCATCTGTCCGTCTGTCCGTCTGTCCGTTTCTATGCAAACTAGTCTCTCAGTTTTAAGGCTATCGCGATGAAACTTTCCCGAAAGTCTTCTTTCTATTGCAGGTAGTACATATGTCGGAGCGAGCTGGATCGGACCACTATATCTTAAGGCTCCCATAGGAAGATTCAAACAAATATGAGAAAATTCATTGTAACTTTGTAGGAAGTAGGCGGTTTAATTCTTGACTACTTAAAAACAAAATTAAAAAAAAAGAAACGCTGAATCTTGAATCCCTGGAAGTGCACCGAGTGAGCATTACTTTATCTGCAAGGGTATATAAGCTTCGGCTGGCCGAAGGTAGCTTCCTTTCTTGTTTTTTATTCTTTTGTTTGCTCCGTTGCACACACACATGGACGAAATATATATAAGCCACAAAATTAGTTTTTTATAAACACAATCCCTAGATATGTGCGTGTGAGTGCATTGCAGCTGACTAAAGAAGTTAGATTCGCTGAAATTCAAGTTAATGATAATACTGAAAAAATTGCATTTACATTTCTGCAACAGATCGAAAACATTTTATTATTGATTTTCGTGTTTTAAAATGCCAATAGCATTGAAAGTATTAAAAAAACACTAAATGTTCAAATCAATTGATTCTCTTACCCTTTCTTACACTGCCTTATATTGTTTAAAAAACTGGAAATGTTTGAACAATTTGATTCACGGCATCCCCTTCCACCTGCCTTCCTTATTATTAATTTTATTCTAATCAAGGTGAAAAATTAATGTGGCACCTGCCTTCCTTATCTAATCTAAACTACTATAAAAGTCGACCCCTAAATGACCCCAGAACGAATTGACATAAAAATCTAAAAAAAACCACATTAATTACTAAAATAATTAGGAGCCGCGTAAGAGGTACAAATTAGAACAAACAAGAAAGGAAGCTACCTTCGGCCAGCCGAAGCTTATATACCCTTGCAGATAAAGTAATGCTCACTCGGTGCAGTTCCAGGGATTCCAGATTCAGCGTTTCTATTTTTGAATTTTGTTTTTAAAGAGTCAAGAATTAAAACGCCTACTTCCTACAAAGTAACAATGAATTTTCTTATATATCTTTGAATATTCCTATGGGAGCCTTAAGATATAGTGGTCCGATTCGGCTCTCTCCGACATATGTACTACCTGCAATAGAAAGAAAACTTTCGGGAAAGTTTCATCGCGATATCTTTAAAACTGAGAGACTAGTTCGCATAGAAACGGACAGACGGACAGACGGACCGACGGACAGACGGACAGACGGACAGACGGACAGACGGACATGGCTAGATCGACTCGTCTAGTGATGCTGATCAAGAATATATATACTTTATGTGGTCGGAAACGTCACCTTCACTGCGTTGCAAACATCTGACTGAAATTATAATACCCTCTACAAGGGTATAAAAACGACCCCTAAGTGCCCCAAAATTCGATTTGTTTTATTTTTAATTCTTTCTTTTGCCATTTCTCTGTTATAAATGTTGTTAAAATGGTTTAAAAATATTATGTTCATAATCTTATGGCATACCCGCAAATAACTGCATTTAAATTTTTTGGAGATTCAGCATCCTTAACCAAGTCCTCAATATTTTTAAATTTGGCAAACCTAATGTAACGTCACGGCATCCCCATATGTATGTATGTATGCTTTCCCAGCGGGAAAATGAGAAGGGCATAGCGACATAAGTCCGCCGACATAATCTCGCCCAGTACAAATTCGCGGCGGGAAAATGTCGCTCTTTTTCTGGCGACTTTATGTCATTTTAAAACGTCATAATATCGCTCGACTTTAAGTCGTTTGAGTGCGACATAAGGTCGCTGTCGGCGAGTTTATGACGTTAGCAAACGAAATTATATCGCCATTAAAAAAACGACATAAGGCCGCCATCGGCCTAACATGGTTTCACAAATTCGTTTCATTGCGTTACATAGTTGCCAACGGCCAAACAATCTTGTCGTAGATCACTTGCCGGTATCAAGTTTAGGTATCCTTAATTAACTTTTACCTTTATTTTTATTCTTCAATTCGTAATTTCACAGAAAAAATTATAAGAGATCAACGAAAAAATATTCTTTTACAACAAAAAAATTATATGAGATCAACAAAAATTAGAAAAAATAAAAAAAGATTCATTCATTTTGAGAATTATGCTCGACTTAAACTTAATTCAATTAAGTACTTCATTTAAACTGGATGAAGAAATGGAAATGTCCAAAGAAGCCAGATTTGGTAAGTTTGGTGTCATTTCCTCGTCGATTGAATCAAAAATATCCTTTTTGTGGAAGTTGTCGCAGAGACCCACAGTCCGCGCTAAAAATCCGGTGACATCAATTTCTTGGCGATCCAACAAATTCATTTCGTCCATTATTTTTTCGGCTCGGTCCTAAGATATTAAATACAAAACATGTTTATTATTAATGGTTTCTTATTAGTTTTAATTTATTTATCAATAGAAACTTACCCGCAAATGGCGCTTCGGTGCAGCGTTTCCTAGACCGCCGTTCTGAAATAAGAGTGCGAATTCTCTTGATTTTTCGTATTCCGCATCAATGAGGCATTTCACAAATTTGAACGTATGCCCTTTTGCATGTATTTTCTTCCCTAAGTTTAGATTATAAGCTTCAATCGAGCTGGTCGTCCTTGTGTTCCTCTTAAAAACTGAAATGCGTTCTGTTCCCTCCTGGAAAATAAGTACAAAATAAAAAATTATTGTATGAAACCTAATTAGTACTTATAGTGATCAGATCAAATCACAGTCTTAAAAAACTTACCGATTTAAGCCATTGATGTTCAAAATATGTAACAAAAGGGTCAAATAACGTCTTGCTGACCGCAATCGTCTCGACTTTTAATACATTAAATGCATTCAGTATTAAATTTGCGGGTAGAAGAGGCAAATGTAGAAATTTAAGGAAAAGTATATATGCACTTTTGTTATTTTTGATTGCAACTTCAAATCCTGGAAAGCGTCTTGCATTTTTTTTACAAGCTTGACAAAAATGAAACCAGCAAGCGTAATAATTGGTGTTAGGGTGCAAATTTCTTAACGCATTCCTCATAGCCCTCTCATAATCCGAAATAAAAGAGCCTCCATCCAAACTAAATATGTTGCAGTCTATGTAAGTGAATAGGTGCTGGTAGGAAACTTCTGTTTTCCGTGTCATTAACACAAAAAAGAATGGTGTGATCTATATTTGAAAATAACATATAAAACACATATAAAAACGTTTTATTCTATTATAGTCATCCGACCCTGAAAACCGAAATTATGTACATAAAAATGATTACCTTACCTTACCTATTAGTAAAAGGTACCTTTTACTTCGCAGGTTTTTTAATTCATTTCAGTTTTTCAGTTTTCAGGGTCCGATACTAAAAGTGTTTATATCAGTGTTCTCAATTATGGTTATAAATTCACTGATGAAAAATTACCTTTTGCAAATGTCTGATGTAAATAATGAGAAGCTGTTTAAACGAACCAAATATGCACACTTTGAAGGTGGCATCGATCAAAAATTGGCGGTCCTTCACGGGAATATGCTTTTCAATTAGCAAAATAGTCTTTTCGGAGGAAAATATAGCATATGAAAATGCAGCAGATATGTGTAAATGTTTGAAAAATGGCTTTGGGGGGTTGGCCTTTGTCATGCCATATATCTCCAAAACATTTTTATCATTAAATGCATCTCGCAGATCTTCCGGGGTATTTGGAGATTTTGGCATAATGGGTTGCCTTTTGCGCTGCAAAGTTCTTTTACATGTATCATATGCAACCTCAATTTCCTCTTCTTCGCCGGTGTGCCTTTTTAATAAAAGAAATAAAAAAACGAAATACACATACATACATATATTTAGAATTAACCGCGCGCACAGATTTTGTAATTGTTATAACTGCATGCGTCTGCAAACACTTGTATTGGTGTAAAGTGCGCGCTCGTTTTTTAATTTATATACATATATACATACATACGTGCTTTGTTTTTCTACTTACTCTGCCATAACGTCGTTGAAAATTTTTTTAATGTCGTCGTTCTCTGTCGATTTTTGGCAACGCTGTTTAGCATCTTCAATCGCGTTGATTTTTTTTATTTCCTGACTTTGTTCACCATGATTATGGTGCTGTTGGTCTGGACTTGCAAACACACGCGTTTCGTCACTGGATAAGTACACTCGCGACTTACAATCTTTTACGCGACATGTGTACGCTGTATCGCCGTTTTTTAATTTTTTTTTTTTGCAAACAACTGGTTGTCGTCCAGGGTATGAATAAGTCGTGACCCTTGCCGGCTACCAACTTGAAATTTAAATGGAATGCTCATTTTTCGTCCGAGTTCATCAACTTCTTTAAGCACAATGCGTCAAAGAACTACCTTTTTCATTAATCTATATTTGTCTCTTTTTACTTTTCTTCAAAGAACTATTTCTTTCATTGATCTATATTTGTCTCTTTTCAATCATTGAACTTTTGGTATTTTTCACATTAAACTTATACCGCTAGTAAGGGCTAGTACTTAACCTAACCAAAACTGGCCCAAAAAAAATACTAATTTCCAGTGGGTCCAGTGTTGGTTAATTTAGTAAAATTCGTGCGTTATTTTTCGGTCACACTTGCTCGAAAACATAAACAAACCCAAAATTCAAATTAGTTGCCGCAAGCGAGTTTATGTCGCCTTAAACCGATATAAAATCGAGCGAGTTTATGTCGCTTCAGAGCGAAATAAAATCGCCAGCGGCGAGTGTATGTCGTATAATTTGGGGCGAGGTTATGACGCTTGAAAACGAAATAAACCCGCGCGATCTTATGTCGCTTAAATTTTGGCGAGTTTATGTCGGCGAGATTATGTCGTCCCCCCGTGAGAAGTTGGTTTTTGTGTTCTTGAAATCCTGTTCCTTTTTGCAGGATAGATAATTTCTGAGCGTTAAACGGGGGTGGGTTTCTGAGTAGCATCAATATCAGGCCACTTATGCGCTGTTTGATTTCTGTGGCACTACGATTATAATATTTTTAACAAAAAAATCACCAACTTATAATATTCAAAAATCCTATGATTTACACCAAAACCAAAAGACTTGTTGTTGGAGCCCAATTCCTAACATAATTGAATTTATCGTCTCCAATGTTATTTCTTGGAATGTTAACAGATTTAGTATATTTTTATAATTGTGTACGGTCACTTTGAAGACCCGCCTGGAAGGAGGCTTTTTCGCTAATTTTTAGTGTGTGTATAAGAGAGAGAAGAAAAGAACGTGAAATTATAACTGAAGCGCAAAAACGTGGACGAAAACGGCTTTTACTTTACAACAACCGGTCACTGTCGGTGCAATCAATTCCAGCCCCGTACCCGAAGAAATTCGGCTGATTTACTCAGAGAAAGGTCTGAACATTACTTGGCGACCGTGACAGGACGTGCGATCCGTCCGACAGTGTCAAGTTGTTGGTGTTGTACAGGCCACGCTATTAATTTCCACCAGACCACAAAGGCGTCTCGCAGCGAAGTTCAGGCAAAAGCGCCGCAACACAAGCCAACCAGCGCGCTCATCTTAGGCCACACCAAAGGCATTGGAGAAACATCCAGAAGACGATCGTGGCAACACTCCCAGTTCATATACAAGGCGGATCATCCACGTGGACTGGTGCTCCATCCAACTCCACACTCACACAATCATGGGATTGCAGTGAGTCACCGTAAGCGAGAGAACATAACCTCAATGTCATTTTCTGCAATAAATCATTATTACGCAACCAAATATTCTGTCCGCAAAAGTTGTTATCGAGATTCATTGTTATTTGCTGTAGTTGTAGTGTTCAGTTGGTAGGCCAAATTTAACTAGCTCCATTTAGCATTTTATTTTTAAGAGATAGAAGTTATACCAGATTTGCCGCAAAATGGTCGATCCAGCCGATGCTGCCGCTGGAAGCGAAGTCAACACCAGCAAATTAATATCCCTCAGGCATCAACGGACTACGATTACGCGAAACATGACCAATTTGAAGACCAAACTCGACCAGGAGAAGGAGACTTTAAACGTGCCAGCTTTAGAATGTTATCTTCAAGTACTAGAAGGGCACTTTCGTCAAATTTCCACGACTCAAGGCCAAATTGAGAATCTACACAGTGCCGACACCGAACGAAGCAGTTTGGATGAGCTGTTCGTGGAAATTAAAACAACGCTGTTGGCCGCAATATCAAGGAAACGTCGGACAAGCATTTCAGGAGACACGACATTGAACAATTCACTCAATTCGTCAGTCATGCATCACAATCGTCTGCCAAATCTGAAGTTGCCGAGCTTCGACGGAAAATACGCAAACTACAAACGTTTCGCTGGTGCATTCTCTAATCTCGTGGAAACGGATGGTGGCCTCTCGAACATCGACAAGTTTACATACCTGCTCAATTGCTTAACTGGGCCAGCTCTTGAAGTAGTGCAGTCATTCCAGATTACCGAGGAAAACTACTCGAAGGCAATGGAGCGGTTGAAGCAGCGATACGATAACGACGTTTTAATTTTCCTGGACTACATTTCAAATTTATTTGCAGTTCCCAAAATCGAAAATGCCAATGCAGCCAAACTTCTAAATGTCGTCGATACGATATCCGCAATTCGATCGTCAGTACTCTCACTTGGATCAGCAGCAAACGTAATGGATGCAATCATAATTCATCTGATGCTAAGCAAACTGGATCCAGAGACAAAAATGCAGTACCAAGAAAAGCAGAGTTACGATCAATTACCATCTTGGGACGATTGCTGCGCCTTTCTAACTCGCCGTTGTCAATATCTTGAAGCACGCGAAAGGGATCACCCCGTAGGTGGAACCGACATACCCAGGCTATCATCATCGAAGCAACCACGCAAATCGAAGGCATTTATGACCGTTAACGCAACCTGCGTTTATTGCAAGGGTTCATCTCACTACATCTCTAGTTGCACAGCTTTCAACGAGTGCCACCCAAACGAGCGCACCAGCTTTGCAAAACGCGCACGCCTGTGCCTAAACTGCCTAAGGCCAAATCACATTCTGAAGGATTGCAAATCGAAGTCGCGTTGCAAGAAGTGCCACAGCAACGTCATTCTCATCCACGGAAAATCCTCAGGACCAACGTATCGCCGCAATCCAACACAACCAAGAGTCTGTACAGCTTAATTCAAACGTCGCCCTGTTAACGCGAGCATCTAAGCAGGGAGTTTTACCAACAGCTGTCATACAGATCAAGGACGTGACCGGCAATTATCAGCTAGTTCGAGCTCTAGTAGATTCTTGCTCCGAGGTCAATTTAATCACCGAGGAAACCGCCAAGCGATTAAACCTCCAAAAAGCGCGGGTTTCTCAGGCTGTCAGCGGGATATCGGAAGCTTGTGAACCAATTCATTACAATGTCTTCGCCACACTCAAATCTCGAATTTCAAATTTCCAATGGTCATCCGAATTCGGAGTCATTAAGCGGATCTGTTCAAGGCAACCCCGGGAATATATCGACGCCTCCACATGGAAGCTTCCCGAGGGAATCGTACTTGCAGACCCCAGATTCTTCGAACCGAACAAAATCGACGTCCTAATAAGCACCGAAGGATTTTTTGAAGCTATTCTAGGAGAAAAACAATCGCTAGGTCAACATTTGCCTAGTCTACTCAACACGGAGTTTGGGTGGATCGTCGGCGGTCATTTGAATTCATCAAAAGGGCAGCCAACCTATCAGTGTCTTTTAACGAGATCCGACAGTTCAATCGAGGACATGGTACATCGCTTCTGGGAAATAGAAGAGTACCACACGACACCATCAATCTTCTCTGCTGAGGAACAAGCGTGCGAAGATCATTTCGTAACCAACGTCCAGTGGAATACCGAAGGACGTGTCCAAGTACGTCTACCATTCAAGGAAGGACATCCCACCCTCGGATCTTCTTTCAAAATGGCATTAAAACGCTTCAACATGCTCGAACGCAAACTCTTGCGCAACCCCGAGTTAAAGAGGCAATATCATCAATTCATGCAGGAATACATCGACCAAGGGCACATGTCTCGGCTTGAGGACATAGACTGGAATAAGACCGCAAAGCAGCTCGACAAAGCTCCGCGTCGTCTTTGACGCTTCGGCCAAGTCGTCAAATGGCCAATCACTGAACGACATCTTGATGACGGGTCCTACAATCCAACAGGATCTCGTTACCACTATACTTTCATTCCGACTACACAAATATGTCTTATCTGGCGACATAAGTAAGATGTACAGACAATTCGTAGTGGATGAACGAGACAGGAAGTATCAATTAATTCTTTGGAAAGGTGACTCCGAAAAACTGCAAATCTACCAACTCAAGACGGTCACATACGGGCTGTCAGCCGCCCCATTCCTAGCTATTCGCAGCTTGGCGTATATCGCCGACGCA